TGCTATTACTATTACTATTACCATTACTATTACTATTACTATTACTATTACTATTACTATTACTACTACTACTACTACTAGTACTAGTACTAGTACTAGTACTAGTATTATATGTGCAGAGAAAGTCCAAAAACGTCCCCCAAGCCCCCAGCAGAGCTGTAGGCCACGGTGAGGTCCTTGTCGTCGGTTGTGGCAAACGTGGATCCGGGGTTGAAAGCCAGGAAGCCGACCAGCCTAATGTAGACCCCGAATTACTAAACCCCGTTCCCTTAATGGAGGTTCTGATAGGGATCCTAATATGAAGGCCCTTAAAACCGGGGGGTGGGTTACTAATCACGGATTTACATTCACACAAACAACGGCAGGTCGTCTTGCTATCAGCAACCCTGAAATTTGCCGAGCAGCAGGAGGAATGTGCCGAACAGCAGCTGCACCGGGTGCCTGCACTTGCGAAAAGGCACGAAGACCTTCTTCTCCACGGCGCCCTGTTGCAGCGCACTCGCATTTTCTACACACCAGCAAGTTTCATGATGTGTGATGTCCTCGGGCTCCCGGTAATATTTGCTGTCGTGCTTCTCCATGAAGATGACATTCCAAGGAGCTTTCCAGGCACGGTACTCCTTGAAGCGGCCGATGCGAGGGCCAACAAAGCATGTTCCCACCTCAGCTCTGCTTGGGGCCTTTCGAAAGCACGGCTCAGGCGAGAGTGCCCGGCCAGTGCACTCACGGCGCCAACCATGTGCACGGTGGCGGAGCCTGTCCCAGCACATGAATTGCAAACTGGAGATGCCTGTCCCGCCAAGATATTTGTCAAATGCCTTTGTTCTCCTGTGAAAAGGCTATTTCTTCTACTACTGCTGCTGATGCTGATCCACAGGCCTGCGAAGTCAACGAAGCCTATCTGCTGCAACCAGCCGTTGCCCCAGACGAGCCGTGCTGAAATTGGGTACACAATGCCTGCAGAGCATGCAGTTACCCGTCTGGGATGTGCCAAGATTATCGTCCATCCCTGCCGGTTCCCATGTTCAGGTTTGGAAGAAATCTGACAGGGACACTGCCTTCCTCATAGAAAATCTGTTGATCAGAACGCTGCTCAGCTGGAAAGGGAGGGACCTTGATCTGCAAAGTGGACACTCCGAATCCTGCTTGTCAAGGTTTGCTTGCTGTTTGGCCTTCTGGAATCTTTCACAATTGCAGATGCAATTCTTCTTTACATGATCGACCTTCTGAGCGGTTCCTCTCAATCCGCTGAGCCGTGGCCAAAACCTCTTGAACCTTCAGTTCTCATATCAATCACTATCGCGGAACCATACGTCTTACTGACGCGGTCCCAGCCAGCACATCGCGAGCTCTTCCTGTTCTTTTGCACCGACGCGATCTATCGCGAATGAGATATGAATGAAAACCGCTGGTTTTTCCTGACACGCGCACAGCTTTTACTGACGCGCACGCCTTGCCAGCTTCGCGCAGAGGCTTCTTACCAAGCCGAGATCGCGGACAACGTGCCTGCAAAATGCTGACGCGCACTGACGCACGCACCAGGTCTTGCACCATCCAGTATCGATATGGGAACCCTCTTATAAAACTCCTTCGTGAGGTTTTGGCCGCCGCTCAACTAGCTTTTGTTTCGTGGGAGTGACAAGTGAGGTTAATGAGCCCTATATGGAATTGTTGGTACAAAAGCTACGGGGGCCTCTCAAGCGGACCACCAAATTTGTGGAAACTGCACTTAGTCAAACCCAAATTTCAGGGCTGGAGCCGTCAGACATTATAGATCTAAAGCTTCCACCATCTTCCACCACACAGCATGGCAGCCCCAGAGGAAGTCTCAAAGCAAGTGGAGATGGTGGACTGGGCTAGCCTGGACCTCACTTGGACCTCACTTGGTTAAATCTGCTTGGAATTTCGGCGCGGCGCTTATGGTTGGAGCCAAGCAGGTCCTGGAGACCCTTTTGGAGTGCTCTCAAAATTTCTGACCACGGAAGCTCAAGTTGGCTTGGTCCGGCACTCAGACAGCCCGAAATTCAAGACGAGGTTGGAAGCTCAGCTGCACGTCAAAAATCTGAAGCGGTTTTTGATTCGGCAAGGGCCAGGCCAGTTCTGGGCGGCTTCCCATTTTAGGCCCGTGTGGAAGCTTCAAAGTTCCCCCCGCCACGCGCATGGGTATCATGTCTAAAGCTTACCTCGAATTTCTGAACTCACAATCCCCCTCCCACCAGGGTTGGTTTTGCAATTCAACCAGCTACGATAGCAACTCTTGCACAAAAAGTTTGAGAGGGATTTGCATTAAAGACATCCGCGTGGCAGTCCGGTGCCTACATAGTGCCTGCGACAGGAATAGCCTAAATGTGTGGCCACAGTTGCCTGTCATGAAGGTGGACAAGACCAGGTAAGGGAAGAAGGCCACCCGTCCAGCGAGAGCCTCGCCACGAACTGGCTTTCAAAAGCGCTTGTCAACGGCTTGAGCCCCAGACCCCGCTGTTGATGGTGGCTGCTGTTGTCGCATAAGAGAAGCTGCAAAACCAGTGAGCCATGTCGTAGCCTGGGACACAAGCAAAGCAGGTCGACACCATGGCAGGGAGATGAGCAGAGGCTCCAGCCGGTATCTGCAAAGCCCACATCATGTGTTTCACCAAAAGCGATCTGATAGCCGAACAAGTAGAACACCAACACGCCGATGAAGAGATCCAGCATGTTCTTCCTGACTTCAGAAACCGACTGTTCACATATAATCGAGAAGCGGCTCAAACTGGGATTCGAGCATCATGATGTTGGCTGAGTTGTTGGGCTGGGCCTTGGGCTCTGCTTCAAATACAGGCGCTGCCAGGTAGTGCCAAGCACTGCCAGGATCCCGACGTATGCAGACTCGAGCATGGCAAAGCCAGACTGCCTAAGCTGATGCCACAGCATCTTTGGTCAGGTCAGACTTGGGTGGAGGCTCCAAGTGCGCCGTCACAGTGTGAGCAGCCTTCCTAGCACCGCTCAGGCGTGAGACAGGCAAGATGCATCTGGATGATGCGCCCAGCCATGGTTACGATGAAAGCCACGTCTGCGCGGTGCCGCAGCCGGAAGGGCTGGCAAGTGGGCAGGGCCTCCAGGGCAGCACGTTGTCAAGTCAAAACCAAGACTGCCAGAGTCCACATCCATAACAAGCCAGATTTCAAGGGTTCTACAAGGGTGACTCCGATGATTTTTGCTCTCAACGGTTTTCTCCCTGCGTCAAATTGTGGTTGTTAGACTGTCTGGATTTTGAACGCTCTATGCTTGACCTTTTGCATCTTGCTGCCAATTTCTATAGTCATCACGTGATCTTTCCAAGCTGCAGCAGCTAGTTACAACACCTAACGACAAAGGCCTGTCCTTGAATTCGGAACCCTCCTTTTATACAGGTTAGTTCCACAAACTTGGGTAAAGTGTTGCACGTATACTGGATAAATGATGCATTATGTAATTGTGATGCATTCAACTGCGACATGAACAAGCCTGTTTGAAAAGAGCAAATGGCGTCTGGCATTTCAAATCCTGCTTTTCCAGCACCTTACTTGAGAAGGCTCCATTAGTAAACAATGCTTCCTCTGCCCCAGATTCTTCTGATTTGAATTGTTTACTGCGACGAACCGCCGCAACAAGCTTTGGCAGGCCCTGAATGTGTTGCACGCGTAACACACAGGTCATGCTGCTGCCTCACCTTCATCGATGTGCCTCATGCTGCCATGCTGCACCAGACATGAATACCCCCATACTTCGCTGTCCTTGATACCTGCCATGTGAAGAAAATGAGTAGTACAGCTGTTGCAGAATAGTTGTAACCTTTTACGTGCATGTGCGCATGTGAGCGCTCATGTACGACAGATCAAGAGACACCATCAACTCCTGTAAGAATTCTCCAAAGCTTGCGTCCCCTGAAGGATTATGCAGGATTCTGGGGTTCTGATGATGAAGATGCCAGCTTTGAGAACTTAAGATTTCTGTCCCTCCAGCCTGGCTGCTCATCTCATTCACCCAGCGGACATCTGGGAGCTCCTAGGCATGGACAGAAGCATCTACCCAAATTTGAGTCACTGTTGTACATGTGCCATTACTTAATATGGGGGCCTGACATTGGATCCTGATACACTCTGGACCCCATAGAGCTATAATCCTTATTATTCAATGGTACCCCAAGTTTAAGTGTCTGGGGTGTGTAAGCAGGGCGGGGGGGCACTTCTGATAGTCCCAACTGACGGCAACACTTACTCCGGCAAAACCTACGTCCCGAAGCAAACAAACAGCATGACGGACTCGAGCCAAGACGCCATGATTTCCAGTCGCGAGCTGGAGTCGCAGGCCCCTTAACTAAACCCCCCGGACTTGATCCGTCTGAAACAAGGTAAGCACTTTGCTCTCATGCTGCATCGGTGGTTGACAGTCAGCCTGTGAACATCGCTGATACCTTGCAAAGCCATTTAAAACCTGCTTCCCGAGAAGTCGACGCCCTGGTCAAACCAAGCCTGTGGTCTTTGACCCTTTGCAGGCTGTGCAGGAGGGCGCTACTAAAAGGCGCACAGCATCCCTCTGCCATAGGTTATGACCCCTGTCAGAGGTGCTCTTGCGGTCAGACGTGTTGGCCTCCAGCCAAAACAGACATCCTGAAAACATGGAAAGAGTTTGTGTGAGAATGAACAGTGTGGACAACCCTGAAGCGTAGCCAAATGCAGCAATCACGTGAACAAGCCAGCGGCACCGCCACGACCACGAATATCTGAGGCTACATGGCTGGTGGGGTTTCCGTCATCTTGTCAACGTATGCGTTGATGCATGCTGCTCGAAAAGACTGAGAATGAGAAGACTCTCCGCCAAAAATGTCTTGCGAAGTGCTTCCATCCTGCAACATGGCAGTCATCAAACGTTCGAGTTTGACCTCTAAGGACTGGATCTTCATTGAGAGCTCTGCATGGCTCAAGTTTTCCAAGTTTGAAGGTTTCGTGGCAGCCGGGTGAGGTGCGCTTGCTGGCTGTCCCAATGCATCTTGTTCCGCATCTGGAGCGCTGCCACAGTAGCAGCAGCAGGAAGAAGCTCTCTGGAAGGTTTTGCGGAGAGTGGACATCCTGGATGACAGAAGAAATCATTTCTGAACTGCTCAGTTTGCCTAATTCCTCTGGGCTGCACTGCCCCGTCTATACTGCATCATAACAGCGGGCAGCCGAGCCTTTTGATGGGATTGTCACCAGCAACACTACCATCGTCGAACTGGTGTTCCCAGAAATCAAGCCCGATCAGCTCACAAGCCTCAGATGACATCAAACGCAGGAATTCCAACTGAGCAGGAACAGTGCTGTTCACGAATTTTCTGATGTCAGCTCTCAGCAGTTGGATGTGCACAGTCATTGACTACCCATGCTGCGGCAACCTGTCCTCAACAGCTCAACCAAACAGATCACCCCATACAAAACTATCCTACCACCTTGCTTGATTTTCTGCTGGCAGACCAAGATATGATCATGTGCTCTTTATCTGCCTGGCTGTCAATCTTCGCAGATATACTGCGTGATCTGTCGCTGCCCGCGCTCATCTGCTTTTGACACTTGCGGAATGCTGAGCATCAAAAATGCAAAGCCACGCAAGGCATGAACTAACTGCTTCAAGCAGCACGACTGCAGCGAACACCCATAATGATGTCAATAAAGAGAAGAGTGATATAGGTGACCCCGGCTGACATGGCCTCGGCTCGCGATGCAAAATGTTGCTGTGCTAGAGGCTGCTAGCCAACGAGTTGCATCTTGCTTGGCAAGCTGCTGATAGAGCCACAACGCCAAGAATCTGAACTGCCAGTAGTTGCCAGCCTGCTGTGCTGGCACCATAGAGCAGGCCTTGCACGTCGCTCTGGCAGTTTGGCTCGGCAAAGAAGGCCACGGCCACCGTCCCCCAAACGCCAGGTGGCCCATGCGCAGCCACCGCCCCCACAGGGTCGTCTATCTGCAGCCGGACCAGCAAGGCGTCGCAGGCCAGAGCCAGAATGGCCCCTACAAAGCCCACAAACATCGCAACCACCGGATTGATGGCATTGCAACACGCGCAGCTGGCAACCAAAGCGGCTATGACCTGAGCTCTGAAAGAACTTTGAGAGCAAAAGGGGATGCAAAGGGGCAAGGTCACATGAGGCCACGGAAATGGCCACGGTGCTGCATTGCTCACTTCCGGCACAAGCACCACGGTGCTGCGGGTGATGGCCATGGACCAGAGCATGCCACCGAGGCCGCCCCCAGCTGCAGCAAGCAATGTGCAGACGGAGGCGCGGCCCACCACCAGATCCGCATCCTCCGGGAGTTTTCCTTTGTCCCTTGGGTTGGAGGTCCCTAAACCATGGAATATGGCCTAAATAAGGGTATGTGGGACACAGAGCACACATGGCACATATGGCACTTCAAGTTTCAAGCAAAAGAAAACTCACAAACCTACATCATCAAGCAATCGAGGGCTGGATCGTCTGCATTATTCTCCGTGCTTTCCAGGGCATCGATGAAAAAACACCACATCCCAAGATATTTGCAAGACGGATGACCACAGGAATGCAGAATAATTCATAGGGACGCAAATTGAATTCAGGACTTTGGTTTAGTTGTGTATTTGTTTTTGTGTTTTGTAGAACGCGATATTCAGCCAAAATGCCAGGATGCTCCACGCAAGAGCAGCATTTTAGCTGAAATGCGAGGAGGCTCCATGTGTGAGATCAATTTCAAACCCAGATGCGAGGATGGTCCACGCGAGGGCTCGATTTCAAGCGAAGGACTCTCGATGCGAGCGCACGACTTCTTAGCCAAAATACGAGGACACTCCATGTGATTTCAAATCAAGACGCGCATGCTGATCCAGACGCGAAGACATTCCACACGAGAGTTTAGCTTAGGGCTTAGAGCACATGCGACACTACTGTACTCCACTGGACAGCACAATTTCAAGTCGAAATGTGAAGAGACCACAAGAGAGTCTAACCTTGAGCCAGAAAGAAGCATCCAAGCGACGATACTTCTGCATTTCACGACACACGGGAGCACCGTCAGCCCTGCAAATCTTCTAAGTGTTACACTGCCTGAAAGCAAACTTTTGCAGTCAATCTTTGCAATCATGGCTGTGGGGCGACATTCCCCTATGTGCCAACATAGTGATCAAATGTTGTCAAAGCAAGAGACGCACCCATCCACTGGGGTAGCGTCCAATTACCAGAGCGCGGCTCTCAAAAAGAGCAGGGAAGCTGGCGCGCCCCATCATTTGCAAATATAATGCTGAGATATCATACTCGGACCAACCTCCTGTCACATGCTCTTGCAAGCAATTTTTGCAAACATACTGATAAGAACACAGTTTAAGGTTTAGGGTCTTAGGATTTTTGGGAACAAGGTGATGGTGCGATGCTCTTTGAGGCTAGCTTGCGCACCCTCGAAGAACTAGCAGGGTTTGCAAACCATGATGTTGGACGACATGCTGCCCAGAGGTCACTTTGCAAGCGCACTCTCTGGCAAACATGTCAAACAAGGTGATAGCACGGTACCTTGTTCAAGTATGTTCAGGTATCACTGCACGGTTTTCAAACAGCAGCGGCGTCCGCGGCCAAATTTGATGTTGCTCGGATGAACCACTTGTTGAATACTCTTGCGGGCAGCTTCCGTAAACATGGTGATCAGGAAGCCAAGAAGTCAGAAAGCCAGGAAGCCGAAAGCCGGTAAACAAGAAAGCCAAGAAGTCCGGAAGACAAGAAGCCGAGCAGGCAGAAACCAAAGAAGCCAGGAAGCCGAGAAGCTGCAGAAGCCGAGAAGCAAAGTAATTTCACAGCCCCAAACTGCCAAAATAAAAAACATCCTTAAAAAAGTACATCCCCAATGACTCAAGCATGCAAATACTGAAAACAAAGCACCAACAATCGCGGGCTGAGCGAAATTGAACGCCATGCAAGTCAAACAGTCACGAACATCAAACACAGAGACGCGTGTAGAGTAAAACTTAAATTGAAAGCTCTAGTTTGGGATTCAGCAGGCATACAAAATAACATCCGACTGACTCCCCGATTGCCGGGGCACCCTGCATCATATCCTGAAGCCAAGCCAAATTCGCGGCTATGCCTACTCTACTTTTTGTCAGGCTACCGAGCTCCAGAGCGATAAACAACGGCAGCGTCTAACTTTGAGAGCGTCTAACTTTGAGATGTCGATAAAGTACGGAGGTACGGACTGAAGCGTCTCTCCATCTATCACCGCACCCTTAGAAAAAAGGCAGTCCCAGGCGCCATGTCTCACGTCAAATTACATGTATCAAGTGCTCGCATGCAAAGAGCAGAGAAATGAGACTGTAATCCCATCCCGGTTAGAGTCCTCTGTCACAGCAAGGGTAGACGCTGGGTTGAAGGCCAGAAATCCCACCAACAGCAGCCAGGTTCCGAAGAGCAACTGAACCGGGTGGCGGCAGCGCACAAACCTCAGCAAAGGGGACCTGAAGTCCAACTTGAGGCAAACTTCACATGTTGTGCTTCATCACCTTCACGAGGCCTGCACTGGACGCTGCAAATCGCTGCCACATGGATTCACTGGCTTGTCCATGCTAGGGAAACCCAGACTAGGATGATCCCTGAGCTTGACTTCCTGACTGCCAAGCTGCGGTCTGAAAAGGTTCTTCTCAGAAGGCTCCTCCAGAGCCATGACACTGCCGTGACAATTTTAAGAACAAAGCCACTTTACCGGTTGGTCCTTGGGTATCTGGTAGTACTCCGAGCTGTTTTTCTCCCGGAAGAGCCATTTGCCGAGGCCACGCCAGCAGCGGTAAGAAGGAAATCGCCCGATGCGTGGACCGCAAAAACAAGCCCCAACCTGAGCTGAAGATAGCTCCCTAAGCCCCTCTTCCACCTCCTTTATGCCACATGTCTGGCTTTGACAGCGGATGATTCGACAAGCAAAACAGATTGGCCAAAAGCAAGCCAGAGAAGAGGTCAACGTTCTGAGCCAAGCCGCCAGGGCACTGACGGCACCAAGCATGTGCACTACAGCGGAACCTCCAAAAGGCCATGATGCTTCAAGCGCAGCCCCCTGAAACCACGCTGGACAATTTTCTCCCTTGACCCCATGACCGCACAACGACAAGTACTAGGCAAATCATTTGAAACCCGCAATGCGAAAGCTCACGCACTGCGAATGCCTGCGAAATCCACGAAACCCAGCTGCTGCAGCCATCCATTTCCCCAACTCCATCTTGCTGCTAAGGGATACGTGATGCCTCAGGTTGACAGAGCAATCAAAAGTTCCAGAGGACAACAATCCACTGCGCTAGCAGACTCGGAGGGATGGGGAGTGAGCAGAACAAGACCTCACCAAAAGCCTCGCAATCGCCAACGGTGCAGAGAATCCCCAGATTCTGGTCATGGCACACGGTTCTTGCGACCGCTATGCTTCTGATTGTGACACGGAATGCCATGGTAAAACTGGCCAGCCTGATGAAGATGATGCTAGTGCTGGTGGAAGTGATGAGTATTTTAACTTGAGCACGGGATCAACAAAATGGCATGATAAGTGTCAGAGAGACCGGGGGGCTGATCAGAGCAGAGAGAGTCTAGTCAAGTGGAGGCTTCAGACTATGTGAGTTCTGCCAAACGCACTCGAGGTGTGAGACCCGGTATGTCATATTGTCCTGAGGGCAAAAAAGTGAATTGATATTACATGGAGTTGGGTTGCCCATGTGACCCAGTACGGAAGGTGTCTCTTTTGAGTAAATTTGAGCAGCAGTCATATGCCCATTCAGCAGATAACAGTTGGAACAATGTTCCGTGAAGCGAGATTAGTGGTAATGATGATGATGATAATAAAGAGTACAATCTTCAGGCTTGGTTGTGTGACTCTATGATGATCAGCAGATCTGAGCCCCAAATCTCCTAGAGCCCTTTAACATGAAGATGAGCATACATGAGGATAGATTGGACAACAAAACGGTGAACAATAAGTTTGGAAGCGACAGAAAGGGAAGACTACATCAATAGAGGACGTAAAAGCTTTGAGGCAATTCATGTAAATCATGCAGCAACATTTCCTTTATTGCCGGAGAAGGAATCAGGAAGGACTCGAAGGAGCGTAATTCCGCTGGAAAGTAGGACTCATTCTCCAGCATCACTAACTCCGAGACAAAAAGCAATTAAAGCGGGGAATGGGGGGAGAGAGCCAGAAAACGAATGCGTTCAGCAGTTTTGAGGCGCATGTGTGCACATTTGTCAAGATTTAGCAGGAGACCTGTGACAGAGCTTCTGTGGACTAAATGGAGAAGACGAGTGCAGTGGGAAGAAGAGATACTGTTACGAAGCGTTACCACGAAGAGCTGTCATCCGCGAGAGAATGTGGGTGCATCACGGCGGGGAGAATCCCCAAAAAGGAATTCATAGAATTGAAAAGATAGGGCAACAGCGGACAGCCCTGGCACAATCTTCTGATATCAGACCTGATGTGGGAAGTAGATCGGAAATCACGGACCCGGACAAAAAAAATGAGATCAATAGAGACCTAACTGCCTCTATACCTTCAGCTGGCACGCCCACCTGGACCAGAGCCGCACGTTTGAAGGTGATGAGCATGATCTTCAGGATCATGATGATAATAGTGAAAGTAATGGTGGTGATCGTAATGATGGTAATGATTGTAATTGTGGTGATGATGATGATGATGATGCTGATGTCATGCTGTACTGCAGTACGGTGATGTGGATGAAGTGCTGGGGCCTCGACCCTGCTTCACTACTGATGGCCTGTCCAAAGGAGTTGCTGTCATGTCTTATGGACTTAGACCACGCCATGCAGCCTTATGGCTGTAGCGTGCAGAGAGAGAGAGACAGAGACAGAGAGAGACAGAGAGAGAGAGAGAGAGAGAGAGATAGAGAGAGAGAGAGAGAGATGATGATGCTGGTGAACACTGTCTTGGAACGGATTGTAGGAATTCTCCGCACCTAAAAACCCAGTTCGTCGCAAGCCCACCTCCCTCCCCACGACCCCTTCAAAAGTTGCAAACATCACCTTCTCAAAGGGCAAAAGTCCTTGCAATTGCCTGAGCCCTGCGCCCGTCATGACGGTGGAGAGGACGACGTAAGCCCAGAAGGCAATGCGGCCCGCAAGGGCCTCACTCTTAAAGCTACTCAAAACCGAATTGTGCGTTGGCATCAGGGAACAGCTGAATCAATGAGTCAACCGCGGTAGAAACCGCTGCGTCAAGGCAACTGGGATCTCAAGGGTCAAAGTCTACTTTCAAGGGGTCTCCCAACCTCTAGCAGGCTACAAGCGTTCTTCACAGACAACCTTAAGGATCCCGAACTCTTGCCGCTCTTTGCGGTGAATCACTAGTCTTGCCCGAGACAAGAAACTAGTCTGGACTGTTGACCGGCTTGCGGATGGGAACAGTGACAAAACTGGCCCTTGCTGGGAACCTGGCTCCGCTGTCAATGGTTGCCGACGTGGTGGCCTCAGCTAGCCGTATTACGTTGCGCATGTTGCACAAGGCCCCTTCTAAGACGGCGGCATACGAAAAACTGCAGAACCACTGAGAAAAGTCCAGGTCTTGGTCAGGGCTCGAAATCTGAATGCGTGAATACAACGTACATGCGTCCATGTTCTGAAATTTGCTGCTGAAGAACCTCCACCAAGAAAAGCGGTCATGTGGGTCTCTCCATGGGATATCCAATACCCACAGAACAAGTAGGCGACTGCCCCAACAAAAAGGTCCATCATGTTTTTCCTTAGCTGAAGCAAGAGAAAATTGCAGCAGCCTCCCTTGGCCATACGCCTGTTTAGCTGAGGCAAGAGCATCATTATGTTTGCAGACCCGTTTGGCTGTACCTGGGCTACGTCATGGACCCAAAGACAGGATGGCTATTTCCTTGTCCTGGCGTCAACAGGACACGGACTTGTTTCTCACTAAGGCTGCAGCATACGCAGACTCCAGCATTGCGAACCCAGACTGCCTCAGGTTCCCAAAGAAGCGCCGAGGTCAGGCCAAGTGTAGAACATGTTGCATCGTTCGGTGGGCTATGGTGCAGGCATTTGGATGATTCTGGCACCCATGTTCACCATGAACGCATTGTCTGCTCGGTGCCGCAGTCTTGTCAGTCCACACTCTGCAGGCGTCAAGTCCAGCATGAGCTGGAGCCAGTTGTTGTCAGGTCCCATCATCGCCAATAGAAGCACTCGCCGGCATCAACCGAAACACCGGGGGGATGAGAACTTCATACGAATTGACGTGCCAATAGCTGCAGCAAGCACCATTGCGAGCCCACAAATGCCTAATGCCTTCTACTGGCCCAACCAAATCTGAGTATTTGGCATCTGTTGTGTCTGAGATCTTTTGTCTGAGTCCGCTCGTGATGCGATCATGATTGCCCGGAGTTTCCTCTGGAAAAGGGCAAAATGGCTGTTGCATCCAGTTGCAGATTTCAACAGCATAAGCTAGCTGCCAGAAATCTTCTCGCAGCCATCATCCAAAACATGCGTCTTGGATCATCAGCATTATCTTAAGGCGAGACCTGCAAGATGTGCGCACAAACGAAAACAGACTTATTAATTGCATTATTGTTCAAAGTGGCCCAAGAACAGCTTTTGAGGCCACTTATCTTGAGTTCTCCCGACCTGCACCAGCTACCTCTGCCACAGAGAGCTTCGCTCCCTTTGGAGCTATCCAAAAAAACACGCAATGCTTCAAATTTGCGTGATGGTATCAACTTGAGAGTTCTAAACGTTATGTCCGTGCTGATCTTGGCAGGCCATCTGAGAGGAGGGATGACAACCCAAGAAAGGCTGAATGGCGCATGCAAAGAAATGAAGGCAAAAGGGGTAATGTGAGCGGGTTTCTGGAATCAGCCGCTTATTCTGAAAAACGCATGCTCACACGTGAAGCGACGCATCGTCTTTGTAGCAAAATTCAATCCAAAACGATGTATTCACAAAGCAACAACAATTTCATGCAAACCCAAAGCACAGGGATTTTCTTCTGAGCAGCGGAACCGCAAATTCGGCTGCCACTGCCCAACGCCACGCACAAGTGTCAGTACTGCCTCCAGCTTTTCCAACGGTGCTTTTGTGATTCAACTTTGTTCTGCCAGAATGCTACCATGAGGAGAGGACATGATGCCAGCTAGGCTAAGCTTTCGTAAGCGCTAACCGCAGGCATCACCTGCAATCATCCCGCTCATGCACGTATGTCTGTCAAATGGTTTTATTCTTATACAGCAGGAGCCTCCCAGCGCTTTTCAGGCCTCCTAGCCAACATCCAAGTCAACACCGGAGTATCATGCTGGTCTTCACACGGAAATGCCCGGTTAACACCACCAAAACATCCAGGACTGGCCACACAGTCCACCAAGAAATCCAACAACCCCGCCAAGGCAGGCCGCCAGCGAGGTGCACAAAGAGCTAATGAAACTGACGAAAGCCATGCGCTGCCATGTCAATGCAATCACATGGGCGACCTTCCAACGATAAAAGAGAGGAGGGGGAAGAGCAGGAGGAAGAGCATGCCGCAGGAAAAAGTCTACAAGCACTAACCTGACAGGTGGGGAACAAACATTTTTGCAGTTTGAACGCTACGGCATTCTTTTAGGTTCTCTTGGATAGCTCCCAAGCCGCACGCTGAGCAGTAGGCTCAAGTCAGTTTATTCTAAGGAGTATTGATACTATCATCCTTGTCAATATGTGCATGTCATTTTTGGTGGGTGGCTGTGTTCGATTAAAGCGACAACTATGGAGGCTTTGCCTGTTTCGGCTTCAGAAGACGGCCTTTGGCTCCTTTGTGAGCAAGGTCAGCCGAACACTCCTGCAAGACCACACAATCCTCTTGTTTGGAGCTGAGCCCTACAACCAAGTTTTGATTTGAAGGCCCAGCAACATTTACGCAATTATGTTCCCTTCCCTTTGTTGGGGCCTGTCCTCACCAGCGGCGCGACCTCACATGATGACGCTTCACACCAGACTCTCCAACGCTCTCACAACCAGAAAAGCTTAGGCAGGAACCGCTGACTACGTCTGGGCTGTCTTTAGCCGCAGACTTTTTTTCTGCCCGGCATGCTGACCTTCGTGAATGCAACATGCATTGGCCCGACTCCAATTGCATGAATTGCTTGGTGGTTCTTAGGAATGCACTGCTCCCTCTGCGAGGACACAGGTGACGGACAACTGCCCTGCGCGACGATCTTGGCTTTTGGTTGGGGCGCTGGCAACCCATTCGGGCATTTGTCACCCTTCCGACTGCGGTTCTTCACCGCGACCTGCAAGAAGACAGGCAGACTCAGCCTGCGTGTGCTGCTTTGATGTGAGAGCACAAGCCACAAGCCTGGGCATCCTTTCCGCTGCTTCCAGTCCCGTCCGTCCTTGTCAACCTCGTCCGAGGGTCCTTGTTGGGATTCTCGGCGTCCTCCTGGAAGGCCTTACTTCTGACCTTCCTCGGTCTTTTCTCCTTCATCTCAGTCTTCATCTCAGTCTTCATCTCAGTCTTCTCCGCGTCCTGCACCTCCGGACTTTTCTTGGCATCTGGCACCTGGTCCTCCTTGTCTTGCTGCCCAACCTCCTCAGGAACCTCTGCATCCATGCCGAAGCCTAAAGGCTGGGGCTTCAGCGGCTGGGCCTGCTGCGTCGTTTCCTGGCCACCCTCGCCACCCTCGCCCCCACTCTTTGCAGGCCGACTCACTTCCTGAGAAAACGTGAGGCGATTGAGGCGATTGCGAGGGCTGGCGTTCCTGCCAAGAAATTTGGAGACGCGGCATGAAGCTTTGCAGCTCTCACTACAAGTGGCGTCCTGGGCGTCGCACAGCCGGTGGCATCTCCACTGCGGTCAAACAACAGCATCAACTGCTCTGGCGGAACATCGCCACCTGCCGCGAGGAATGAAGTCAGAGTGAGGGTGCAAAACATGAAAAAATGAAGCCTGCCTGTCTGATAGATGAGATTTTCCCAAGCGCGGCATGATGGCAGTTCCTTGCTCTCACGGACCAGAGATGGGTCAAGGTGGCCAATGCACTTTTTGACTGCTGCTCAGCTGAGAAGAAGTTTGCACTGTGGACAATGCCGAAGGGATCCTATTGAAGAAAAAACAGGAGAGGGACCAGCATGTATTTCCACAACCCAGAACCCTGCGTCGACCCCTAATATGTCCTCGGTAACAGTGATACGATCAGCACACTGGCACACGTGAGGACTCACAATGTGCTATGGCCAGGTCACTGCCCATTGGGTGATCGTCTGAGCAGAACTATCGAGCTATCGAATCACGAAACTCGTAGACTTCTGAATCGTGGCACTATCGATGTGAAGAAAGGTGGAACTGCTTGTTTTGAAGCTATGACATGGCCGTTTTGGATTAATTTGGCGTCGTAGCAAGCTGCTATACTGATGCCTAGATTGCGGATCATAGCAGAGGCAGTACCAGTACCTTTAGGGTGTATGAAACTCACGTCCATCAGTGACGAGCTTCGTTGAACAAAGTGGGATCCAAAAGTTTGCGCTTCGCGGCCTCCATGAAGATATCCTCTAAAGCAGCTGGGCACTCCTGTAGCTTTGACATACCTCTCCATACGAGCTCCTTCAGGAATAGCATGAACTCTTCGCCGTGGTTCATGTGACGAAGATGCGCCAGCTCCTTGGCTGTCAAAGCAAACTCAACCTCCAACGCAGGGCATATGAGACGCAGTAAGCAGTTAGCAGCCATCATTTCTTCATTAGTACTGCATTCCTTCCTCCCACTCAGGAAATCGCCCATGTTTTAAGGGGGGGGACGTGAAAATGGCTTGAGCCATTTTCGACGTGCCCTCCTGTCTAGCTAAGACCTCTACTTGGACACCTTCCCAAAAAACGCCAAGAATCCAAGCCATTTAACGTCCCCCCCCTGCCAAGCCATTTAATCCAAGTTCCAAACACACATTTCAAGTACCTCCCCCCCCCAGCTGAGCCATTTAATGCAACAAGGCAATTTTCAGGTCTAGACACGAAACTCTCTTTTTTGGTTTTCGATGCCGCGCCTTGTTTGGTGTAAGTTGAACGCTTTAACGTCTCTACACGCTCCCCACGACAGGGATTTCCATTGGAGCATGAATTGTTCAGGAAGTCGCTGCTGCAATTGAATTTGCAGATTTTTATTGTTTGTGTTTGCTTGCAGGCTACCCCGCGCTTTCAGACAACCGACTCCATGCCAATGTGGGCATCGTGCAGCACATAATTGCATGCTCGTAGTAGTACTGAAAAGTAAGTCGACAATCCGCCTGCATGTGAAGCACCAACCCCCATTGCGCACAAGCACCAGCGGACTCTTTCTGGGGTGTAGGGTTTATAAGGTGTATGGGGTTGAGAGCTGTTTATAGTGTTTGTGGGGTTTATCAGCAGTGTGTAAGGCCTATGAGGTTATATGGTTTATACGGTTTATAAATTTCAGGGTTTGTGATGCTAGGCCTCAGCCAATCTCCAGGCTGGAGCCTTTCCGAGGCTTTAAACGGGAAGCTTTAACAAGTACAGGCAGCAATGGGGGGGGCACCGCCTGTCAAGGGGGGCCCCGTATGCGCCACGCGACGCAACAAGCGCGTAAAAACCAATACAAAGGCATTTGCTAACCATAAAGGGCTCTAGACAGGGGCTTCCTGTATCTTTTTCAACGGAGCCCGGTGCCCGTTG